GGCGGGAGCGCCACTGCGCTCCCAAGCGGCACACTATAGCAGTGCGCCACCGGGCCGGCCCCTATTTGAGCTTTTTAACATCAAATTTTCTTTGAATTTCTATAGTTTTTACTGTTACAGTTTTTGTTTGATATACAGAAGTTTTTTTTTAATTGAAGCATAATTGATTATAAATATTTTGGGGGTACACTGTTGACTATTGTTATTTGCATACAATATGATGATCAAATCATTATTATTAGCATATTATTACAAATCAGAATTATTCATTGTGCTCCTTACCCAATTTCTTCCTAGCTCCTCTCACCTTCCCCCCCCCATCACCTCTAGTAACCACAGATTCGTTTTCTCCTTCTAAAAGGTCAATGTATCACTGTGGGTGGGCCTTCCTTCCCTCCTCCCTCCCTCCTTCCCTCCTCCCTCCCTCCTCCCTCCCTTCTTCCCTCCTTCCTTCCTCCCTCCCTCCCTCCTTCTTTCCTTCCTTCCTCCTTCCCTCCTTCCTTCCTTCCTTCTTGCCTTCTTCCCTTCCTCCCTCCCTTCCATCCCACACACTTACGAGTGAGGACATGTGGTATTTCTCTTTCTGTGTCTGGCTTATTTAAGTGATATATAGAAGCTATGACTGTTACTTCTATATACAGTGTCTTTTATCATGACATAATGTTCCTTACTTATCCTATTTAGTGTTTTTAAACTCTATTTTGTTTAATATTAACATAGTGAGGTTTGCCTTCTTTGCATTTGTTAGGTATCTTGTGGGTCTATCCCTTTATTTTCTGTTAAATTTAAATTTTAGATCTGGGAGATGATATACTGGAAAGCCCAGGCATCAAAACAAAAACTATCCTAGAGAACTATTTACAAAAGTCAAACCACTGTGAGAATAAGTATATCTGAGTATTTTAAACACTTAGGCAGCTGTTGTTCATTACTGTTATTATTACTATTACTAGCANTCTACTATATCCCAGGCAGTCATCTAAGAACTGTATATATATTATCTTACTTAATCTTCAGAAGAACCCGATGACACAAGTACTATTATTACCCCCAATTTACAAATGAGGAAACAGACACAGAGAGTGAAGTCACTTTCCCAGGAAAACATAGCTAATAAGTGGTACAGCCAAGATTCAATCCAGAGTCCAGCTCTAGAAGCCATGTTCTTAACTGGCATTATTTCTTGTGCTTACCTGTTCAGGTTTATGTTGCTGTACAGTGTTATAGATATGGCTCAAGCCTACCCTACTTAAAACGTAAGAGGCTTGCTCATTTATAAGTGTGTCCAAATGTGCTTCAATCTAAAATAAAACACAATAGGAAGAAACATTTTAAAAGAGGAATAACACTGATGAGAGTAGACTACCCTGGAATCTTACAGCTCTCCATCACAGACTTCGTCTTTGGAGAGGCAGAGGGAAGGCTTCTATAACAAGGCTTTTTCTTCCCCCAAAGAGGAAGTCTTCCTATGAAAAGGAAAAAAAGTCTTACTTTAAAAATGATAACCAAAGAGGATTCCAGGAGTGGCCACTATCCAAAAAANAAATCATATGCTGCCCAGAAGTGATTACCTTTCCAAAGTAATAGAACATGATTTGCTAAATTAAAAAGAGGATAACTGTTAGTTATAATCTATGCATTCAATTAATTGATACTGTATAGGACTCTGAAAAATGTACCAGTATGAATATCCTTCATAGATTTTATAATACTAATTTTTGCATATTTTCATCATTTTTAGCCAAAACTATTTGCAGTAAAAAGACAGTTAATATCTTTTGGCATTCTACTATATCCCAGGCAGTCATCTAAGAACTGTATATATATTATCTTACTTAATCTTCAGAAGAATCCGATGACACAAGTACTATTATTACCCCAATCTATAAATGAGGAAACAGACACAGAGAGTGAAGTCACTTTCCCAGGAAAACATAGCTAATAAGTGGTACAGCCAAGATTCAAATCCAGAGTCCAGCTCTAGAAGCCATGTTCTTAACTGGCATTATTTCTTGTGCTTACCTG